TTGTAGTTCCTCTACAAACTTTGAATTAATCTATAAAATTGTTGTAGCTCTCCATTCCTACCTCCTCCTCCCCCGCCCCTCTGGGCCCTTCATTATTTTAACCACTGACTAAATGTTATGTTGCATATATAATTTTTGCATTTTTCCCAAATAAAGCAGTTTTTTTCCACATTCTTAGCAGAGGGAGAGATTAATATGTACTTGTTTATAATAATAGTTGGCCAAACTCAACTAGAATATGTTTGTTTTGAATTTCCCTTTATTATTTGTTTTTATTAGTTGTTTATTTTACATTTAATTTATATGTATATATTAAAAAATTACAGAGTTCGAGGTCGTTTAGTTGAAAGATTATTTGTGTAATATTTTTTTTTTACAGCTGTTGTTGTTTATATAAAGCGCAGAGCTACACAATGGGCTAGCCGCAATTTATCTACTTCGGGGAAGCAAATCTCAGATTCTAGCGGTAGAAGTCCGCAAACTTACCGCTGATCCCCCGGAGAAATTCTTTACACCAGTTTCAACCGCGTCTTTGTATTTTCAGACCTTATTACATTGTATCTTGAATTTATTTATGATATTTGTTTGATATGAATTTAAGCTTCACAAGAGATAAGATAAATCAATTATTAAAGATATTACAAAAGTTCGTTATAAAATATTTTAAGTCATCTCTCTGATATTTTGTTATGCAAGTCAGGCATCTGACAACCCAACAAGTGCTCCGACATGCAAATCCTTGACTCTTTATCCTACAGTTGTAAATGAACATTTGATGGAGGTGGCTATACATCTTTACAGTCTGTGATATTTCACTTTAATATGATGTTCCACGAACAATAAAGACAGCCTGTAACCGATCTTGCACGCTTAAAACCAGAGTATTGAAGAGATCCTTAGGTATCTTTGACAACTCTTCTGAAATAACTGTTTATAGGGTATCTTTAGTTTATGGACTCACTTGAAGAAACTTGACACATCTTAAAAGAGTACCCAATTCATGATTAAGGGGATTGGAGTCCAGTAAGCATGCAAATCAGTTTATTCAGCCAATCCTTCCTCTTCTTTAAAGAATGAGTTTGCCAGTTTAGTAAGGTGGAGAAGGCATTTTCATCCACTAAGCTGATATTGAGTACTTTGGGAGTATACGTTGTCATCGGTTAAGAAAACGTTAGGGACAATTGTACTTGTATATAACAACAAGAAGGTTACTGGATACGAATAATGTAAGGGTTATAGCTCCCACCATTGCTTATTTCTACCCACAACATATGTCCACCATCATGGAGATGGTGTCACGTTCTTCTAAGAAAATGAAATTAGATCCAATTTTAGGTTCTTTCCAATTAAGTATACGCCTAGTATTTGCCTTAATGGCAAATTGTGAGTCATTTGTAAACATATATTTTTCTACGTGCTATTGGTATACATGGCATGTTCTTGGAACCATTGCAGACGAGCTGTTTCTGCCTACTTGTGGGTGGAATGTTGCTAATTAGAGACTGGCATTGTTAAGCCTATTTCTAACTATCTATATGTTTACGTGATGTCTAATTGCAGCTACGAATATCCGAGTCAGTCTCGACGTAAGTACCCTGTAATTGGGGCATAAAACGGTTCTTGTTCTTTTTAAGAATATATATAGATTTTTCAAAGAAAAAGCCACATTGGACTATCTGCTGTGTCCACCGCGGGAAATCGAACCCACAATTTTGTCGTTGTAAGTCTATATACTTATTGCCGTCCAACCAGGGGACCACAGATAGCGGTCATTTGCTCGTGTTGTGTATGATGGTCTACCTTGTCCAGGTGTCCAAGCAACTATACCCTGGGTTCGGAAGCTATTCCACATTCTGATTAGTAAGCTTTGAGACACTGGCAGCAATTTAGCAACTGTCTGCTTGATTGGTAAACTTCAGTTATTCTAATGGCTCTGTAAGTGAACGAATCATCCAGATGTCTTCTTTGAGATATAACTGTGAACATATTGAATCTTTTT